TGGCCACATGTCCAAACACAATAAAAAAAAGAAATGATCAGATGCAGATCACTGAAAAAACTTTGAAAGGGGTTAATTAATAATTACCTTTTAAGAAGCTAATTTTAAATTTGAAAAAATTTCTTCGACTTTTAGTATTGAATTAGCAGTAGAAATTTCAATCATTTGTTTTTTAATATCTTCACTTTGTCCACTATTATTAACATTTCTAATATATTTATTTATTAGTTTTATAAATAATAAATTAATTATAGATAAATAATAAAAAAATAAATTACCGATAAAAATGTATCTTGCAACTTTTAAAAATATAAGTTAAATGTTCATTCCAAGTAAATTTTGGTTTTATATTAGCTAAGGCTAATCCTAGACCTTTCGCTTGTCCTTGATCCAAGTCTCCAATTATACATTTCCATCTTTTATTATATATATAATTAAAAAATGGCTGTTCATTTGTTAATAAATTAATATGATGCTATAGACTTGTAAAGATTTTGCAATATGCTTTAGCTGATATAGCATTTGTATAAACACGAGCAAATGTAATGCCTAAAATTTATATATTAATTAGTTATAATAAATAAAATTTAAAATAAAATTTAAAATTATTTACTTTGATTATAATCTTCGCTATAATTATTAACTTCAAATTTATTAACATCACTATGTATACGTTTAAATGCCATATCTATTTGAAAATTATCTGTATTTTTCCATGCAATTGCTTGCTCTTTGTTCATACAAATAATTATAAATTTTCCATCATCAAATATACCTATAAATAAATAGTAAATTAATAAATTAATAAATATTATAAATTTTAAAAATAATTTATATATTACCAATTTCTTGCAAATATCCATCAAATTCTTTATTACTATTTCGAAATTCTGTAACAATACCCAATAAACCTTGTCCATTTGGAAATTGCTTTTGCTGTACCTTACTAACAAGATATCTTAACTTATCTAAATTATTTAATGATGAATGAATTTCAGTAAAGAGTTCTTTACCGAAATAAGCTTTTAATAAATTGCTAGATATTATTTTTTTTGATGTAACTCTTTCAAATATCTGTGAAGCTTCTTTAATCATACGCTCTAAATTTATTTTAATTCCAGAAGGTATATTAACTGGAGGAGAAGGAGAATGTGTATGAATGCCTTTACATATTAAAACAACAAAAGGTGTTTTAATAATATCTATTGGAACTAATTTAATAAATTGAACATTACAATTCAATTTAATAATTTTTCCTTTTCGCTTAAAACCTTCATTTGTATGATGAAAATAAGCTATAATTTATTATATATTTATTATTATTATTAATTACTAGTATTTAATTTAAAAATTCTATAAATAAAGTTAAAAATACATACGACATTCTTTTTTTCTAGAATTAGTAGATAAAATTGTACGACAATTTTGTACAGGCTTATCTAAATCAATTTAAAAAAAATTAATTTTAAAATTTAAAACAATAAATAATAAAGCAATATTATTACTTACTAATGTTCCTTTAAACAATTTTCCAAGTATTTCAATATTAATTTCATTACTATTTAATCTGCTATGAATATGTCTTTGCCCAGGTTGCCAAGCAGAACAGCCAATAAAATAAGATGGTATATCATCATCAGATTTTTTTCCATAGCGACAAACTTGAGGTTTTCCAAAACAAGTATTAGAATTGTATGGACATTGAATATTAACAAATGCTAAATATTTACTTTATTAATTAATTATAAATAAAATATGTTAATAATTAATTAAATTTATATAAAATTTATGTAATACAGTAATATAAAATTCTTACGCATGTGTTTTAGCTTCAATTGATATTTGTGAATCTACAGGTTGATTTATTTTATAAAAATCTATATCTTCATTTACTTCTGAATGTATTGTATTTTTTAATTTATCTGATGTAAATTTACATATCCTCGCTCCAGTACAAATTCTAACAGATTTGTAAACTTTACATCCTAAAAATTCACATTCAACAACTTTTTTTCCACCTCCTTCACCAGTATTATATTGAATCTACATAATTAAAATTAGAATTAAATAAGCTCTATAATTATAGTATTTTTTAAAAATAATAACTTACATCAGAAAATGCCGAATTAAAGTCATCCCATTCTGAAATATTATAAATAGTTGCTATACCCTCTATAGATGTTGGAGGATATTCAATTGAAATTGGTGAATATCTAACTTCATTGACATGTAATTTTTTTGTAAAATAGTTATATGAAATTTCAGAAATTTCATCAAATTCATCATCTTGATTTTCGATCTAAAAATATATAAATTTTTCGATTAAATAAAAATTATATATTTTTAATAATTATTTTTTCTAAATTTATTTGATATTACTTAAGTTATAATTCATTAATAATATATATATATATATAATTATAATAAATTTAACCTTATGTAAAGCCAATAATAATTGTAGAGACATTATATTAATACTGTACTAACAATATCTATTTCCGGAATTTCATTATCAGAAAAATTTTCATTTGAATTAATTGCTGCACTTGTAGTATTGATTGAAATATTCGATAAATTTGTAGATTCTGAGGAGGTAATTGTTGAATTTATATTTTCAATTGAATCAGTTGTTAAATCTATAAAGTTATTATAAAGGGATGTCGTAGTCTGGTGGTACTTTAGAGTGCTGAAACAGATCACACGGCACTTTGTTTTCAATAGGCACGGGCACTCTATAAGTATATATTCACTTTATTTTGTTGCTATATGATAAATATTGTTTAATTTAAATGAATATTTTAATTAATTTGTAAAATTAATACCGATTCCAAAACGAATGGCACGTCTATTACGAAGTGACAAAAGTCAACAAATACGTAACACATGACATTGTGCATAAAAAACAAATTGTGGATTCATATTTATTAGTCATTTGCTCTTTTATTTAAAAAAAATTTTTTTGGGGTGGCAGTTTAACTCAGTTATAATGTACCCGCCAAATAATGTCTACTTTTAATAATAGCACAGTTATTAGCGTCCAAGTTAATGTCCCAGTTAATAATGCCCATATTATTAATACAAAGTAAATTATTGTAAAGTGCACTTTAATTCTGTCCATTTTATAATTTTATTACTCATTTTCAGACAATAATTCATATCTACCCATATTCTTATATGTTGATCTACAATTATTGATTATTTAAAGTAGTTGCATTATCTGAATTTATTTCATATCTACCCATCTTTTTATATGTTAATCCACGATTATGTAAAGTAGTTGCATCATTTGGTCTTATTTCTAATGATTTATTATAATCTGCAAGTGCTTCTTCATATCTACACATATTGTAATATGTTGTTCCACGATTAGCTAAAGTAATTGCATTATTTGGTTCTATTTCTAATGACTTATTATAATCTGCAAGTGCTTCTTCATATCTACCCAGATTATCATATGTAAATCCACGACAATTTAAAGTAGTTGCATTATTTGGACTTATTCCTAATGATTTATTATAATCTGCAAGTGCTTCTTCATATCTACCCATATTATCATATGTAAATCCACGATTGGCTAAAGTTGTTGCATTATTTGGACTTATTTCTAATGATTTATTATAATCTGCAAGTGCTTCTTCATATCTACCCATATTTTTATATGCTAATCCACGATTATGTAAAGTAGTTGCATCATTTGGTCTTATTTCTAATGATTTATTATAATCTACAAGTTCTTCTTTAAAATAACTCATTTCATGAAATATTTGACTTCTGTAATCATAAGCCAAAGATTTTGAAGATTTTAATTGAATTGCCATTGTCAAATCTTTTAAAGCTTGAGAATATAATTTAAGTTTCCAAGATGCAAATGCTCTTCTACATAAAATCGAATAGCTGTTTGGATAAGATTGTAAAAGCTGTGTTAACCACACTATAGCTGTTTCATAGTCTTTTTGTTGTTCTGCCTTAGATGCTTTATTTAATGCTGGATGTAAGACTTTTGGGCGAACTTTTTTTAAAACTGAAATAGGTGATTTAGATGACATATGGATTCCAAATATGTGCAATTTATTCATTTTTAAAAGTAAATCATCTTCTGCTATATAAATATTGTTCGTTGGCATTTGCTGTTCTTCTCTTAAAGTATTTAAATATCCTTCTTGCTCTAATCTTTTGTAGAGGTCTTTTACCATTGTAATTTGTGCAAGATTATAGATTGATTCCATCTTAATCTCAGTTCTGCAAAATGGACATTCAAATAATTTATTCTCAAATATCGAAACGTTTCTCCACTTATTAACAGCATCACGACTAACCGATTGTCCACAGCATGATAAAACAAGAAAATCCCCAGTTATTTGTCTAGTAATCTTACAGGTAAAGTGTTCTGCAATTATTTCTAGTAAGGGATTAGATGTTTTATCTGGTACATTTTTCTTGATTATTGATTTCTTTTCATAATTTGTACCAAACTGTTCCATAAATTCATTATTTAATTGAAGCTTTTGATTAATATCATGAATTAACTTTTCAAATTTTAGCTGTGAATCTACTGGTAGTAATTTAATAAAATTTTCTAATTCTTCTTGCACTACATCTTTAAACCAATCAGGTTCTTTATAAGAAAGATATATAAGTAGTTCTAAAGATTTGAATTGTATATAATAGCATTGGGACTTTTGCAATGATTCCAAGCCTAAATAATAACAAAGAGCTAGATTAACAGGTTGAACAGTTTGATAGCTTAAATTTTGGGCAAGGTCTAATACACCAAACCATAAAGAGTTTGGTAAAGCAGTTGGCTCTTTTCTAGTCCACAAGCCACGAAATGCTTTATGATTATTCAAGATAGTTAGAATATCATCATGTTTTTGCTGCTCATACCCCTGATTAAAAGCATGCTGCCAAAGTGCTTCAAGAAGATAAGTCTCATTATAGAATCGTAAAATATTATAATTTAAATCTCTGGTCATGGTTTTTAATGAATAATGCAATAATAAAAGTTCACGCCACACTGGGTACCAGTAAGCAATAGGATATTTAACATTGAGAGCATTAATAATTTTTGGTAAAGAGTTATTTGTAAATGAATTTTCAAGTACAGCAGGAACATTTCCAGAAGCAATAGATGGTATTGTAGAGGCACCATTAATAAGACCTAAAATGGCTTCTCTAAAACGTCGTAAAAATTCATCTAGTTTAGTTTCATCATCACGCATGCTGTGTAAAGTATCACGTAAGTGGATCAATAAAAAATTAATATTATAATTTGGGAAATACATGTAAGTATTGCTAGTAATATTAATCTCCTTAGATTTAAATTTAGACTTAAAGCTATGATCAACACCTTGGCTAAACATTTCAGTTGCTCGATAGTGAATATCAACAAAATTATCTAAATTGCTATACAGTTTGTCACGAGTTTCACGAGTTAATACAGTAGGAGAATAAAACACAACTTCTAAGGTGGCAACCCAAGTTCGAAGATGCAATTCTAAATGCGGAATAGTATTTCTTGTATAGCATTTAACGTCAAATAAGGAAAAATCACTAAGTAATAAAAGTGCATCAACTAATAATTTTAATAATGGAGCAGAAGGCTCTATTTCAAGATCTTCAACTAAATATTTAAAACTAATTAAGTTTGATGGATCTCCTAAGTCTTTCATTAACTCCTCAATAATGGCCTTATGATCTTCAATTGTGTTCTTTTTAATGGTAAAAGTAGAACTAGTTAAAGGATTCTTGTTAACATAATTGCAGTGATTATATCCTGCAGACTAAACATAAATATATTAACATTTATACTAATTATTCTTGAAAATATTTATTACTATGCTTACGGTTGAAGAACTCGAACCAGGAATTCCATACTTTTCTTCCATTAGGACGATTACAAAAATATAAGTCTAACAATTTGTTTTTTTTTTTGTTGCCAAATTATTTCTTAGAATTAAAAGTTTATCAACAAATGTAAAGTACGTACGTACGTACTTACATAAATAATCTGAAACAATCCGGAGATCGGAGTTGAACGTAACTAATCCTAGATTTTTTATGCGTAATACGATGGAGATCGTTACACGGGAAATAAAGCGCAATGCCGATACGGAGTTACGAAAAAATGACAAATGTTAATATACTTTTCTCTGTGTAACGTTGTAATGGCTTATTTTGTAACAAGTCATTTTAGTTTTACGCGGGGGTATTGGTCAGTTATGGTAGTTGGTGTGGTTTTATTGTTAGATTACAGAGTTGTGGATGCTTTTGAGTGAATTGATGGTTTTTTTTTGATTTGATTATTAGTATTGTATTGTTTGGATTGGTATAATAAGCATTTAGTTATTGTAATGATATGAGTGCTGTTAAGTCAACGCACATAGGATTTCAATTGTTATATGTATATACATTATATTAATGTAATTAAAGCCCGATATGACAGGCTGAATTTGACTAATAATCAATAATATTTTTAAAAAGCCGTGTTTTTTGTCTTGGCGGCACTCATATATGGTTTGAGGTGTTTGGGAGTATGTTTTTTCAAGTAAGTTTTAGGAATTTTTGGATTTTTTAGGTTTAATGATATTAGAATAGTATGAGTTAAGTTAAATACATATTAGATATGTTGTGTTGGAATGTTATATTGGATTATTAAACAAAATAACAATAAAAATCGTGATTGATAATAATAAATCAAAATTGTAATTTAACATAATAACAAAATGCACCAAAATGAAAAAAGATTATTCATAACAAAACCAAAACATACCACCCTGAAATAAAATCAACTTTTATTATACCGAATTATATATCCATTTATCACTAATAAATTATAGTTATCCGGAAAACTCTTATGAACATTGATTTATTTCTTCTTGTTATTTTTTTGGTGTGTTATGTCGTAATCATGTTTATCCGAATTAAAACTCAGTTAGCAAATCAGGACTTGAGAATCATGATCATGAATTGCCGGATTACACAAATATTGAGTCATGCGTTAAGGGTAGGGTGTACAAATTTCCAATTTCATATAAAATAGATTGTAGATCAACTTTGTGTAACGAATTTTATA